AGATGATAGTATGCTGATTTAGTTACTGCTTTGACATGACTACTGAAACTAAGGTCTGTCTCCAGAATCACACCAAGATTCCTGACTTGATTTTTAGTTGATAGACCCCTAGAGTCAAGGTATGCGTTAACCTTGAGAACTTCATATTTGTTTCCAAATGCAATGACTTCAGTTTTTTCCTTGTTTAACTGAAGAAAGTTCTGGCACATCCAACTGTTAATTTCATCAATGCAGTGGCAGAGGGAGTCAATGGGGCTGTAGTCATTTGGCGATAAGGCTAGGTAAATCTGGGTATCATCAGCATAGCTGTGATAGGCAATTTGGTTATTTCTCATTATTTGACTTAGTGGGAGCTAAGTGGGAGCTATATACAGGCTAAACAAGTAAAAAAAAATAAGTAAAAAATTTGAATTTAGTTTTTCAGCCATTTTGACAGCCCTACTATCCATTTTCATTCTCACCTTTCTTCAGTTACACCAGATGGTCGGGCATCTAATTTAGTGAAACCGTTGCCATTAGATCATCGTAAGTGAGGTATAGTCAAGTGACATCTTCTTGCCTGGTTACCTCTTGCTACAGTAGAGTTCCCATTGGCCTCCCTGCTCACTGCTGAGTCTTTGCTTTTCAATGGCCCCATGGGTCAGTGCCCACCTGAGCATGATATGACCGCCAGAGCTCTACTGTGATTTCTATCTCTGCTTCTCATTCCTTCTAAACTTTTGTAAGTGGGTGATTTTTAGCCTATATTTGCTAAAACTCATGCAAGAAATTTTTTCCTTGGTGTCCTTGATTGAAAGGTTTAATATTTCTAAGCAAGCTCTTGATTGAAGGAAATTTGGGAGCACGATTTAATTTTTTTATTTATTTCAGTGCATTTGATTGCTCACTAATCAGCCATTGTTCTTTTTGGCTTTGGAAATTAATCCGATGATAATCTTATAGACTCCGAGACCAGTTTTAAGGACATTTAAGGCTAGACCAGTATGTCTGAGCCTCCCTTGCTCCTGGATAATCTAAATTGATCCAAATACGGGGGCCGTGTTACACGAGGATAGCTCAGTGGGTGCTGTCCTATGCAATGAAAGATGGAGGTTTCTGCTGGTGTGTTCAGTCGGCCCACTGTGCCTTTGTGCAACATCACACTCACACAAGAGAATAAAATGACCAGTGCTATAAAGAGAACTACATTTAATTTATCTCACTGAAATACTGTCTCGTAATCTCTAGCTCACTCTCTCTTTCTGGCAGGAACATTTTGATTTTGGCGCATCATTTATTTTACCCCAGTCGTATCCCATTACTGTAGCCGTATGCAGTAATGCTGACCTAGTCTCCTCTGTTTCCTCCTACAGTATTTTATTATCCTCATTGTTTCTCTTGTCCTCTTTATACTGCTTTAAACTGACAGTGGGGTCTCTAGGCAAATGCGTTCTGCACTTGTGTCTGTGTGCCGAGTGTTCCACTAGATAAAATAGACGGCACTTGAGAGGAAGCCCTGGAATATCCTTAAACTCACACACCAGTGAAACTCAACCAATTCTCCAGAGCTTTGTTGAACGGTTTTGGCACAAACCTCCCAGGAAACCTACTAAAGGCTTACAAGTATGTGTGGATCTCTCATGACAAAGCCAGTGCAATGAAAGCGAGCATTTTTAGTATCACTTCATTTGACTTTGCCTTTGCTGGAAAACGCAGACTTTTTCTTTCTGTCGAGGACTGAGGTGAATTTTGTTTCAACATGGTTGAATTAAAGGAATAATTCACCCAATCATGAAAATGTTGTCATTATTTACATCAATACTTATATAATAAAACAAATTAATTTTGGACCCTATTAACTTTCATTGAATCAACAAAACAGTTAATCCCAAAATGATCTTTCATGAATATTTATATATTTATATTTTATATATATTTATATTTTATTAATTGCTTTTGTATTATACAATTCAGTACTATATATACATATAATACAATATAATATATAACATACAATACAAGATAAATTTATTTTAGGATAAAAACATTTTGTAAAATTTCATAATTTATTTATATTTATAATGTGCTTAATAGATAAATATTGTGAATGTAAATGCAAAAAAGTAGGTATTTACAAACCTCGAGAGATTCATTATATGGTTTAACAGTGTTATCAGAAAAATGCTAGTCGCTGCGCCCCCTCTTACTCTATCTTAGTGACTAATTGTTCTTTAAAGGCTGTACAAGAAACATGGTGAACTACGCAGGAGTGACATCTTGCTACAGCTTTGTTTCAGCATCCTACTTGTTGTCTCTTCTTTTGTTGCCTTCTTTACCTGTTTCTTTCTCTCACTAAGCAGTGTTTCTTTGTGTCTCTTAGCAGGTGGGAGTGGAACTTAGAGTGGAGAAAGAGGTGCAGAGACAGACTGACAGCTGGAAAGAAGCAAACTAGAACAGACAGCAGCAAGAGAGAAGCGTAGAAGAGGAGGAACACAGCATGAATGTAGCATGGAGGTGAAGGAGCGTCGGCCTTACTGCTCTCTCTCTCGGAGCAGGAGAGAACGAGGGAGAGACTGGGAGAGGGAAGGAGACAGAGAGGAGGGGGAGGGCTACAGGGAGGGTCCCAGCAACCGCCGTCAAACCGGCTCATCCTCCGTCCTTACCCAGAAGTCTTATAGCTCCAGTGAGACGCTGAAGGCCTTTGATCAACATCCATCCACCCAGGGGCTTTATGGACATCGCATGCCAGACATGGTGCCAAGGGACACTGAGGAATACAGAGCTCCAGGTAAGTGCTCTTTAACATTCACCATATGGACAGGAAACTCTGGAGTCCTTCAAGCTTGCAAATGTGATTTTTTTTAAAGCAACAAGGAAAATAAAAACAGACATTTGAAATGCTAAAAGCAAAACATAGAAAAAAGAAATGCAGTATACAGCACTAAACTGCATAAACATGTATCTATAGACGTATGCACTCTGAAAAAAAAGATGTTATGGTATATAAATTATTTTCTCTCAATTTTTTCAACAGGCAGAATTTAATACTGTAATGACGATCAAACTATATCTTTCCAACTATAACTAAATTAAATAAGTCTAGTGCACAGTGTAGCATACTGTGGCACATGACCGGTCAGTAATGTGACCTCACTTCTCCTTGACCTCTCAACCAAACAGGAGCTAAATCTTCAGATTTAATTAAGTCTTATTCAGAAAATAAATCCCATGTCTTTGACAAAACATTCTAGACCACAAAGAGAAGACCAAGATTGTTTCCAAGTACATTTTAAGCCAAAGATTATTTCATAAAGTTTGCCTTAACTGGATATGCAATAAAGTCCACACACACACAGACACACACACACACAAAGCCATTATAAAAATAATAATAATTATGATAATAATAAATCTTTTTATTTAAAGAAATTAAAGCAAGCTGATTTTTTTCTAATATTTATTTTTCGCTATTCAATAAAACACATACAATGACAATAATCCTGGATACACATTTTTTTATTTAATATTTCAGATTTTTTTGTATTCTTTTTTTACAGCAACTACTGTATATACAGTATAACACGGGAAGCTAATTCTTTATAACTCTTAAAGGAACTACATTGCAGACCATTTACTGTTCAATAAACACATTTTTTCAAATCAATAAAAGTGATCGTATGGGTTGCAAGCATCAATTTAACAACTATATTGCACTGTGATCCAGCACCTACTTTTTATTTCTTCAATATCTTGAATACCTTTTATATACTGTAGACCAAGCCACAATAGTAGAGGTAGTTTTTCTGCACTGCACTGAATGTCTAGAAATGTAAACCCTATAATGACATTTTAATTAGTTTAATTGACTAAGTTACAGATATTATTTCAGCCTGTCATTGAGGCAGTCTAAATGAAAGTACTTTAAATCAGCACAGAACACTTTTGTCAGACAGCTGTATTCAGGTTGGGCACCTTCATTTTCATTTCATTTTGATATCTAATAAAGCCCACCAGACACTTATTTGCTGATTATTCACAAAGTATTCAAACTATTTCATAAATATTTGATGGTTTATTATGATGAGACACTTTTTAAGTGGAAGGGTAGGATACTGCTCATTCAAATTTAATTTCATTAGAAATACACTTAGTTGGTTAATTGTGCTTTATAGTGCGCTCCATAACCTTAGGCTGTTACACTTAGGGGGACGGCTTTAATTAGCAGCCGTGTTTGTGCCTGATCAGCACAAAAGCCGAAGGAGAGAAATCTTGCCTGTATTCATGATATAAATGTTCCGTCATTTTATTTTAATCACAGCCTGGCTAAATCATGGCAGTTTGCCTTGCATTGGCTTCCACAGTTTGCAGTATTTCAAAATGTGTATTTCAGATAATGCCTTCATGTGGTAATTAATGTCAGCACTTGTGTTGAGTTATTTTGTTTCGTATCTATGAGTGTACTCATAATTTAAATTCCGGTGTATTCATTTTCATGTGTCACCTACTCTGTGGGCTTTTAGTCATAAAGCACTCAGCATATGCTATCAGGTACAAGAATATGGTTTTAAAAGCAGAGCTGAAGGAAGTAGAGGGGTACTGAATCTCAAGGTGAATTTCAATCTGAAGTGGAACAGTTTCTATTTTGTACTGTGTAGTAAATCCTCAGATTTGCTTGTGTTGGAAGAGGTAGAGCTTTCCCACATTCAGATTCAGCTGAACAGAAATTCACCTGCTGAAAAAGAAAAGAAGATTAGTAAATAGAGAAAGGTAATTCAGTAAGTTAAATAAGTATATACAACAAATAATGCTCACTGTTAAGAATCAAATATCAATGAATTATAAAATAAGTTGAAAGTGTGAAAAAAAAGAAAAAAAAAAATTTAATAAACACATAAGCAGACCAGGCTTTTTTATTAGACTCTTTTTGCCTTTTTTATTTTATATAAGTAGGCACATAGGCATAATTTGCGGGTGGGACGGGTGGGACGGGTGGGACATGTCCCCACCACTTTTTGCCAGGGTCGATATTGTCCCTACCACTTTTTGAAAGTAATTGAAAAATATATTGCGGAAGGTATGTATTAAAGGGAAAACAAGATCAACAAATCATTCTTCATAATCTAATTAGGGTGAAAAAAAAAACATTTGACTCCTTACGCAGGCATAACTTGTGCAGTGCAATAACGACGTGATTTGCAGCTGTCGCACTTTTCGTAATGTCATTAGGCTCTAGCATTTTATTTAAAAAATTGAGAGCTTCTTTGTGCTAAGTAGGCCTGCCCTCTACTAAAGATTTTTCTAGTCAACTAGTCGCACGTTATATTAAATTGATTAATATAATAATATATTAACCATACTTCAATATAGGCCATAGGCAGATGTATTAGGCTAAAGCCTATTCCGTACTCAACCTCCCGCATAAAGCAATTGCCTCAAAGCACCGGCAAAGTGATTATGAACGTGTTGGGGGAAAATAAGACATTTTAATTATTTATTAATAAACTAGTGCTTTCTGAGTCAGTGTCGGGTGCAAAGATGAGGTTGCCGAATGCTGACGCTGACTCGCCATCTCCACATGGACGTGCCTTTAATAGAAATACAACTTTTCATACAGACTACAAAATTAAAGAATATTACAAAATCGAGTTGGCGAGTTTTCTTTATATTTATTTTATTATTCATATAAAAATTATAAACCTGTTTTGGTTATATTTACTATTAATTGCAGAAGGTGCGCTCAGCAAAAATGATGCGAATATTGATGGTTTTCACGCTTATGTAAAATAAAAGACCGCTTCTTAAACCAGAGAAGTGTCACACCCCTGTGGACTGTCGCTTGTGGTTTCTCCCTCTGTGTCCTTATTTGGTTGTTCCTGTCCTCATTATCAGTTAATCACCTTATTGTGCTCACCTGTCTGCCCCTCGTTATCCACCCTATATTAGTTCCTGCCTCTTGTAGTCTAGTTTGTCGATTATTGCCAATGTCAATGTCCATGTTGATGTCTACCCTGTCTGGATTTCCTGTTTCTTTATTAAATATTATTTGATTCGTCATCTTCGTCGTCCTGCCTGCTCTCTAGTACACCCTGCCCGTGACAGAATAACCGACCCAAAAACAGTTTAACTTCCGTGTTCTCCCCTCCATTTGTTTTCCCTTTTTTCCTCAGTGTTTTTCTTTCCGTTGTGTTTACCCCATGGATCCCTTCACGCGCCCTGAATTCCTCCTTCTCCTGCTGGAGCAGGAAGGCAGGACTCTCAAGGACCATGCCAGACGGTTCCTGATGGTCGCTAACGTCACCAGCTATCCGGACGACACGCTCTGCGCTTTCTATGGGGCAAGTCTGAACGCCGAGTGCAGTCATCCGAACACCAAGATGGTCCTCTGGAGGAATTCGCCGCCTTTGTGGAGTGGACTCTGGCGAGAAACGGGTCGCCACTCACCATCGGCCCCATGGAGGATCTCGCCAGAGCCACTTCGGACCCAGAGCCCAGCCCACCATCTCCCCACGGTATGGAGCATCAGCCTGAGCCCACCGAGAACGGAGAGCCATTTCCCGCCGCGATCAACGAGCCAGAGCAAAGCCAAGCGAGTGAGCGGAGGATCGCCTCGGATGTTGAGCCCAACCCGTCAGACCAGGCGTGAGATCCGGTGACAGTGCTCACCACGAGGGAGCAAGCCGTGGATGGTGTGAGCGTGGAGAGGAGCTCCGCCCCCTGCATCATGGCTGAGGGTGAGCTGACTATGGCGGGGCATAAGGGC